ACCTTACGAAGCCCCTTTTCACGTGATCGCTCGTCACGAAAAGACCTTCAAGGTTGACCGATATGGACGCGTCGAGATCGTCAGCATTGATCGTCTCAAAGCAGCACACGTCGATGACAGTGCCCTGTCTGATAACCTGAGATTCAATGCTAGACCTATCAAACCTACTGGCGGGATCCTCAAACCATCTTCAGGTCCCACGCTAGATACACCTGAGACCTCATTCTCACGTCCCAGTCGACAGCACGCGTCATCTGCACCGTCTACGGACGAGACGACAGTCTCACGTCCAGATCAGCAGACCACGCCGCCCTTGACTTCGGATGAGATTGCAGGCTCACGCGACGCGAACGAGACTACCGTCTCACGTTCCGGTCGCCGAGTACGGTTGCCCGTACGCTTCCGCGATTAGCCGCACAGTCAACAACCGATACGGTGTAGGGTTATTCCTATACTACACGCATGCTACACTCTTCTCTTTTTTGATTTTCTTTTTGTTTCCTGAGCCCACGCCTTCGACCATCTCCGTGTGGTTCCGTCGACTTCAGTCAACTTTGGCGAAAGCTGGATTGGCCAGCCATGCTCTTGTCAACGCACCCAGTCGATATATTGGTTTCGAATGCTTGGCACACGCTTGGTCTCGAACTTGGTCGTTACGGTCGCTTCTAGTCTTTTGGCTCAACGTGGTTTCGTCCTACGTCTGCAGAGTTTCTGGTCCGCATTCCCTACGAACGCAATCTTCAGATTCTGGATACAAACCACTCTGGTGTGGCATGCCAACTCAAGCAACAAATACAGCACATCGCTCCTGGTACCGTTCTCCTAAACAGACCTTCGTTGGCAACTCGACGATAAACGATCGCTTTCCTGTTCGCCAATTCTTCCGTCCTACAATCGCTCGTCAGCCGATCAGTCCCACGATTCGAACCGCTATTTATCGAAAGTGTAAACCCTTTCTAGCGGGGGGCTCCTGTAGTGACTCATGTTTATCACGATAACACGACTGGTTTAATAAAAACAATTATTATTATAACCAACTCTACCAGTGTTTGTTTTAATGTGCTTTTGTTTAACTGTGCTAATTATAGCCATTTTGGGCTTCCATTACCTTCCATCATTGTTTCGCGGTTTTTGGTACTGTTCGCACGTACCCCTTCCTCCTGCTTCCACTTGTACCATTCCTTGGCACGATCTCGGTATTCGTTCAATACCACGAGATCGCCAACCAAATAAATCTGGTTACGTTCAACCTTCGCCTTCTGATTTGCTTGGCACATGTTTCTTGGTAGCGGTGTTCATAGTTAATCTCAACTCGACGCCACGCTACAAGATGCCTTAAACACTAGCGTTGGCTACTCAGGCGAAACAACATGAACGTATATTCACAGACATTTGAGTATGATCAGTGGCATTCCGAACGTAAAAATGGTCTCTTAAAACTCATACACGTTCCTACAAAATAAGAAGGTTAAATTTCAGAAAATGGTAAGTGTTCCACTATAAGGGCCTTATGAATGAGGGTGTTAAACTGTAAGCTCATTAACCTTGTGGTTAGTTGTTCGCTCTTTGCAACAGCTCAACAAGTAGCAACGTGATCAAAGTTTACAGCTTACGACTTAGCTTGGGTCGCTTAAAAAGCATGGTTTTATGTCTGGACTATCATGAGGATCTGAAAAAAGCCGCCACGGTTCTGACTACCAAAAGACGCACAGCCAAGTGTGATCTACTTCTCATAAGAGCTAATTAAAATAGGGCTTAAGTGAAATGTAGAACTATTCTTCAAGAACTGAAGCAATGGATTAACGAATATGATATATTGTTAATATACATCTTAATTTCCTGCATATTCTAATTTCTGACTTACCCCCTAATACCTCCACATTCTATCGTTCTTTATAGCTTTTAACTTTGCAAACGAAGAGGACTCTTAGAAATTCTGCCACTGATAATAGGCGAAGAACCCCAAATTTTAAAGAAAGCTGCCAAAACATCAAATTGACATTAGATAATGGGCATCAGGCTAGTGCACATAGTTTACTCTCACGACTCAAACACATGGACCCAGTACATCATTAGACAATCAGGATCACAACTAAACCCCAGATTTCTCTCCCTAGTGCTATACCCAAGTGACGAGAGAAAAAGTCCCGAAACTAGTTGCTCAGGAATATTGATAAAGGTATGGTGGTCATTGTAAATAATGGTCTTCACTAAGCAGAATAAGTGACGTGTTATCTTGATACAATTTTCGTTATCGTACTGTCTAGTAATAATAGTAAGGTATTTCCACATAGCAATGTGTTAAATCTGTATTACTATAGTCCGATCAATATGACAGACATTTTGTTGACCACTCATGTCCGTAGTTTCTCAAGCTCAATGGAATCTGCAATTACGGTGACCCCAAATGTTGTCCTGAAACATTATTATGGTCAGCCATAAGAAAATTGAGAATTAAAACAGTAAAAACAATTGCTCTAAATCTACACCCAGTAGTACAGAGTTGTTTTATGATATTATATCTTATGTTTGACATTCGTGATATTGAGAATTACCGTCCACCACTATTGCATTCAAATTGAAGGGCTTCAGTGTCTAGTGTTTTGCAAGAAACCATCCTGGGCTCTCAGCTGCTTCTCATATATATCAAAGACCTACTAGAATGCCCAGGTTCACCTGCGCTTTTCAGAGAGCCACAAGGTGTGGAGAAGATTCACAAGAAGTAAAAGATATTTAGCATTACCTCAAAAAATGCACAGAAAATTATGGTTTGGAACTCAACGTCGTAAATTATTAAACGATGCTCTTCTAAAACACAGAAGAATATCAGATTAGCTACTTACTCCGTAGCAATAATGATCTCTCCTGGACATCGATGGAGAGCGTTGGGATTTCAAGCGGCTGGGTATGTCAGATTTACAGAACAATCTCCAACGTCGACTTGATGTGAACATTCACCATGATATTTTACTGCATGCGATCGTACGTGCTACAAATTAATCCGTTTCGTAAACGGCCATTAAAAGTTATAAGCAACGTGCAGTCATAACAAGTCACGCTCTTCAAAAGATAATACTAGAGAGATGCTAGCGAGCAGAATACAAAGGAACTGGTGAAGACGGCACATAAAAAAAGTTCAAACAAGCAAGGAATCAGTGCCAAAAACCGATAAAATAGGATAGACTTCAGTACCAGATAAAGCAAATCTATAAATTTTTCTCCAACTCGTAAAGATTATCCCGTCATTCAACATCTCTTCAAAAATTCTGAGCTGGAGTTTTCTAGTTGTTAGGACTTGATAGCCCGATCAACAACGACGGAGATGCCAGAAAACTCCTGGGAGACTAATATTTTCAGACATTTCAACAATCACATGCAAAATACGTCGATGAGAGCTTTACATACAACCTGAATTCAGTCTGAGAAGTGATCCTGGACGTTGGAACGGTTTATCAGAGACTGCAACATTGAAATAAATATGTCTTTTGATTCGTTCTGCTATACTGAAAAAATCGTCTGCAATCGTGGCACACCGTTCTATGTGGCACTTGCGGATTTTCTGAGCTGAGGCACAGCCCCAGAAAATTGGAACTTGGCTCACATTACACTAATTTTCAGAGGAGGCAAACTCAGTAAACCTTCAGACTGCCGGACAGTAGCACTTCTGTCGTTACACTATAAGCTTAGAGTGCCAGATACACGACGGTCTGTGTGACTGCTCGTTATCCATAAACTTTCTTCATCCCAACAACACGTTTCCAAGAAGAGTTACTAATATAAACCAATCTAGTGAATGCGGTTGATAGATAAACAACCATTCATGATCTCAAGGGGAAAGTTGATGTCACAAACTTTTTTTTCTCAGAAGCTTTTGACACGGTCAGTCATATATTTCTCATCAATAAGCTCAAAATCGTAGGCATCGGGTCACCGTTAATGAATTGGGTTGCTTTAGACAGAAATGATCGTTCACATTTCCTTAGGCTACAGAATGTCCTTGTGGGGCCACCCAAGACTCAGTACTAGGATCTCTTCTGCTTTAATTTATATAAATGACTTTCCTCAGGAAGTATGATCCGATTTATTACTTTTCGCTGATGACGTGGAACTTTAGAGAGAAGTTCGCAACTAAGGTAGCAATTAAGGAGGATTTGGTTCGACCTCAATGCTGGACAAGTAACGACAGACTTACTTTTAACACTTCAAAGTATGAGGTAATCTATCTGAGACACGTCGCAGACTATGCGTACAACTTCTCTAGAAGTGTCCTAAGTTAAAAATGATCAAGGGATCGTGGTACCTTAAAGTCTAGGGTCTCACACTAGCTGCGACAAAAATGCTTTTCAAGCAAACCTTGCACTGATAATGATAAAGCGCATCTTTAGTCAGTTTGGTAGGAGAACTTTCCACTTAATCCTTTACAGTTTTATATATACCTCATTTAGAAAATGGGAATATAGCGTCCTCTCCCTCACTCCTAAAGGATGAGAATACACTGGGTCGAGGTAAGCCACGGAATCAGTCCGAAGACTCGAATTCGAACTTTACGAAGAGCCCCTCAAGTCACCGAATCTTTGTCCATTAGAGTACAGACGTCTCAGTCGTGACCCTTTAGTGACTTATGGCATCCTAAACACTCCTGAGCATCCATTTAAATACTTCGTTGTGCTCTGTCCCAACACATACCTTAGAGGTAACATTCAGAAATTAGAGACTTAACATGGCGAAATGGAACGTAGAGACATCTTTTACTACTTATGTGTAGTTAAATTCTTGAATTTGCTGCCAGATGAGGTAGTCAAGGCGACTTCCCAGGAGTAAGCTTGACATATTATTAGGGACTCAGGACAATAGTTCGCTACGATTTGATATCATTTCTCTTTTTCACCATTAACCTTACTTAGGTTCGTATCTTAAGGTATCGGTTACTCACGGCTACTGGATACGGAATCCCATTAAGCTAAAGCTTCAGCCACAACCATTTGAATCATTTTAGGTATAAAAAACTCCCGTCATTTTTGAAATTTACGTCACAGGTCCGTGTGATGGCTTTGGTTTCCTATGGGAGTTCGGGGGAGGAATCTAATGGTAGGTTTAGTGTAAAAGTCACGGTTTTATCAACAAGATGATGAAGAAGATTTGGTTGTCAGCAATGAGAGTACTACAACAGCTAACAGCATATTGAAAGACCGAGTTGAACCTGAATTTAAAATGAGAGTCCCTAAAAGTGCTAAGCTACCTAACCTTGTCCCAAACATTCCTATTGTGAAAACAAAAGACGGTAAGGTTTTGCTTTCCGTCCCCGATTTGGAAGCGGTAAGTACATGTTTATTGTACAATATCGTGCATACTTTTAATTTATTTGCAGTTGGATTCGTCAGATGACAGTGACGATGAAAGCAGTCGTTCAGCTAAGAATAACAAGGTACGTACGTTACGTGCCAGTTTTCCTTCAAATGAATTCTGATGCCATCCGTTGTGTTATATTTATTTTGTGTAGTCACATGAGATGTTGCTTTGTGGTAGTTTTAATGAATCTATGAGTTATGTGATTTTGTTTCACCTAAGGATATTGGTTACAATGTCTCTAGAGCTTTGTTTTTTTCCGCCCAACATTAGACATGTCGAATACTTGGCCAGACAAAATAGGTAGTAGTTTTCTTAGTTTATTATTAGGGAATCTTACGAATCCCATAGATCAAGCACCTTACAGTCAGGTTGTAAAACAACAAAGTCCATTTTGATTTAAACAATGTCTTACCCAGGCAATCAGAACAGGGGGGGGTAATGGTGAAAATCTTGATAATTTTAGGGAAAAGTCTACTTTTTCCCGAAGTGGTAGACTTTTGAAGGAACATCTCAGTAAAGAGTAAATTCGCTGACACATTGAATGAGCAGTTCTTAGCATCTAATTAATGGCTTTAAAAATTCGTTATATGTGGTGAATCTTTGTTCCCCAACATAGCTCAAGTTAATTGTTGTTTATTTATAGATGAGTACCTAATTGAGATAGGTCTCAAAAGTTCCCACCTTCGATTAATCTAATATATCACTTTACTTTGAGTTGTTGTTACCCAAATAAAACATCACAACCACGTTGTTAGACAAGTTAATAATCTCATTGGATGTTCGTAATCCTACCACACAAGTAAGGTCTGTTTCTAAGTTTGATGTGTTAGTCCTAGTATTTAACGATTTGTGCTTATTTTTTGGCTTAACGTTATGGTATTTTCTATTAAAACTTGACAAATCCTTGATAAAATGTTGGCTTCAAGAAGTCTATTATCCGAATCGTTATTATCTGGTGTTAAAACTATGGAGAAAAGTATACCGCCCGCCACGTGTTTTAAAAATGTGGGTTATTGACTCTTCATCTTGCAGTGAAAATACATTTGAGAATGGCAATAGGATCCTAATTCGGAAGAGAGGTGTACATTATTCTGAAATCTCAACCCATTATTTTAAAATCTAAACATAACATATTTTCAGACCCCTCCTCCTACCTGTATTAGCTTTCTTAAGTCTCTTGCAATTAAGTTTTCATATAACTCTACAGAATTGTTTTTTCAGTCATTAGCTTTGATTCTTAAGTTATGATTTGCATATGTTTATTAATGTTTTCAAAATTGTTCTCTCCCATTGCTTACTTAAAAAATTCCGTTAAACGAATTCTCTTCGGTAAATCAGGCGTAAAACTTAAGTGTATATTTCATATTGCAAGAAACCACAGTAATACTGCTTCATTAATATATTTGTTGTTAAAGCGATCATTAGTGAGATAGTTTACTTTGTTGCCTATTTACCTTCACCCCTAAACGCCCTGGTACGACCGACGGTGAGGAGAGTCAGCTCCCTCTCGAAACGCTCTTATATGGCCACGCGTATACAGCCACTGCCAGGAAAGTCCTACTCACTACCTTCTCGTAGCAGGGGTGTTGTTTACGAAATTGAGTGGACGAAAAGCGATGTCCGGTTCTTTAGGCGGGTTTGTGAATATGGAGGATCCACCTAGGGAAGTTGGAAAACCCTGGTTCTAAATCAGTGGTGCACATGAGCTCCAGGATCATGAGCAAAAAAATGGCGTATGGACCAATTGATGGTCATCGGCTACCATGGAAATGCATTTGAGAAACCATGTGATGTAGCTGGTTCTGATAAAAATCCTCGATAAACCCTAACTAAACCAATAGCATTATAGTAAATAGCTTTCTGTAAGTTTATGTACTTTGTGTTATTCATGCCTCTAGAAGAATGAAGAATTAGTTTATGAGTCTACAAGCAGTGCTTATACTTGCTTTCTGTTCGATACGAGAAGACCTATCCTGATTCTCTCTAACTCGTTTCCCGTTGCACTTTTAACGGCACCAGCACTTGCGACTTATGTCGAACTCACTACTACGTGACCTTAAAAACGTTGCGGTTAAAGAATGACATTGAGTCATATGCTTAATCCTGCCCTTATTAATTATATGAATATATCTCAAAGTATATTACCTAATATTCCTGATTTCTAATGACATACTAAAGCTGTTTAGATATACTCAATAGATCGTTTAATATCAAAAATAGAATGAATAACTATATCCTTATTTGGTTACTTGATTTTTTCCAGCCTAGTCTTGTCCCATCCGGTAAAATATAACTATCACTAAACCCGTAGAATTTTTTGTACGCCTTACTACTCAAATTTGTGGAAGTTTAAAATTCTATCAAGTGGTTTAGCTAATTTACCTAGAGCATGGTATCAACGTTTGACACCCAATTACTTCAATGTATACGAGCCAAGTTAAGAAGACATCCATGGTCAAATACCTATGGTCTATGAATGTCTCGTATTTTCAATCCCTATTTTTCATAAACATATTATAGTTCAGAACATAATTAGAAGGCGATATATTGAAGAAAGGAAGCGTAGAGATTTAGAGACTATATCATGGCTTATTTTACATGTATATGTAGTGTCAGTTATTATGGCAAGCCCATATACCTTATTCTAACTTCCGGACATCCTATTTTATTCATTTTACTTGAGCCATATTTTGACCTTGTCAATTATTTGCTTACTAGCCTTGACTGTTTTCACATGAGCGTATATGTGTGTACACTTCATGTCCCATGACTCATTGTATGTCTGTAGCTTATTTTGTCTGCCTATAAATACTGAGTAACGCTTAATTAAAATGGAGTTGGCTTCCCAGCCATCCTCCCTGTGCGTCATTTTGCTTGGCTCTGTTTCATTCACTTCATATACAAAATATATGTATTCAAATGCCATTCTCGTTAATTGACTTATTTAATTCCGTTATGGACTAACGCGATCTAAGTCGACGATGATAAACGAGAATCAGCGATAGCAAACATCATGTACACTCTAAATAGGAGTCAGATCCACGGGCCACTAAATATAAATAAGTTTATTGCAGTTTGTCAGGTCTAAGCTTACGATTGTCTTGTTGTAGTAAATGGCTTTGTATCCCCTAAGAGTCAACTTATTTCATTGGTTAATGAGGTGATACTTTGAGACTAGTATTTACACATCGATAATCATTGTCGATAAGCTGTGCTTTTACACCAAAGAGACACACTACTTGAATTTACACAAGGTTCACAATATATTTAAATTATTCGAGCTCCCATCAATTACTAGTCACGATTAAACGTTTAGTAATAGCTAGCCCATTAACATGGCTATAAGTGGTATAAATTAGACTAAATTTCATGACGTTGCTTCTTCAATTAGATTTCTACATGGTTTTGATTTTATTGACAGTTATAAATGTCTAAGTCATTTATGATTGTATTCTATTTGCAGTCCTATCGAAATTCTAAACCTGGAACAGATAAAGTTAGCCTTCTTTCTGTCCTTCCACCAACACGTGCACTTATTGTCCGAGAAGGGAACAGACCAATGATACCACATCAACTAATATCTAAAAAGAATACAAGTCATACTGTTAAAGAGACATTGACTATGAAAACCAAGCCTGAAAATGTTGGACAGAAACCAGGCTTTCAGAATAACAACGGTGACGATGACGTTTGGGATGCTGACATAACCAGCAAACAAGATTCTGATAAAGACACTTTAGAGATAGCTGATGAAGATGCTGAAGAAGTTAGTTTCTTTTCATTTTACAAACCTACACCTAATAATCATGAAGCTGTCGCTTCAGAAAGAGCAGCCGCACTATCGGCACTACAAGCAACTCGAAAAAAAGCTGAGTTGTCTAGCAAGCCATTAACTGTAGACAATGATGATAGTAATTCATTCATAACAGTTAAGTTGTCACATGATGAAAACTCAACTACTAGTCGACTCACTGCAAAATCATGGGAAGAGTGTTTACCAAAGGTTACTATAAGTGATCCGGAAATTCTACGTCAAATGTCTTCTGTTAAAAAAGAAATCGCTGAACAAGAAGAAGATGACAAAGAGGATGTTGAAGAAAAGGTCTTTTGGACAGAAGAGAATTTCGTTCCAGGTCCAGAGGTATTTTAAATTCTTTTTAAATGGTCTTTTAATCTTCCAGCTAATAGTAATCATATTAACTTTCCGAATCCGCTGATATTAACCATTATTGGCATTGTTTCTAATTTTGGAACAATTATCGTAGTCTACAGGTCATTATGAAGATAGATGTTTCATTTGAATAACTTAATTAAGACACAAGTTTAGTATAAAGGTGCAATCAACAAATTTATTCAAGGTGATAATTTGATCTAATTCGATCTTCGAAACCAGCCGTCTTTTTGTAAATATGTCTGTTTTACGATTAAGCGAATAAGATTACCCTAGAGTCAAGGGTTCAGTCCGTTTTGAAAATTCCAAACCTTATAATTTACACAAAATCATTGCTTACACTTTGACACTACTTATAAACGATGTGCGTTACTAGAACTTCTATCCCGTATATCTGTTTTATTTTGTTAAACTTGTGTTCATACATTCCCAATAGGATATTGCTGACTTGGAATACGCGGATGACATAGTCCTGTTTGGTGAAGACGCTGATAGAGTACAGTCTTCTGGTAGCACTGAGCAACAATACCACAATGTTTGGGATGCGTTTTGCCCCTTCTAAATGTAAATTGTTGCTACACGATTGGCCTGCGTCAATACCTGAACTAAGGATAGGGAGTGAAGTGGTCGAACATGTCGACAACTTCACCGTTTATTCGAAATCCAGATAGAACATAAACAGTGGGCGGCTCTCTAATTGTGATCAAGGTCACTGATGGCTGTGAGCATCTAAATTCATCCAATCTGTGGGTAGCAGTAAAACGAGGATAATAGGTGTTAGTTAAGTGTGGTAGTCAATTAGTTGATGACTAAATAAATCACTTAGTATATAGATTGATAAATCAGTGCATTATTTAATCGACTGATCAGTAGAAATTTGCTGTCAACGATTCGGTTATCTTGTGTAACATATTACCCAATTCGCCACTATCTAATTAAAAATGATTTTTCTACATGATTCTTACAAATCATTAGTTCTCCAAAGAAAATTTTAGTGTATTTCTACTACCATGCAGTTTGCATCCATGATTAACATGTTATGGTCATTTAAGCACTAATAAGGTGACTTGTGAATATCAATCAGTTTCACTTGTATTTGAAAGTATATGCTTGTTGGAGTTGCTATGTCCCCAAAATACAAAGTACGAGAGAGAAATTGAATCTTACAATTTGTATATCGGTTTGAGGTGATTTTTATTATGACTTATATCCACCCACTAAGTTTATGTTCTTAGGATGACCAATAATACGCCAGATAGCACCAGTAGCCTTGACCCTTTGTTAAGTCCTTATTGGTCCTCGATTCGGTAGCTTTTCTCCCTCTCATAGCTGTTGAACCCAGAACACAGTAATTAACCTGCACTATACAAATATTGTATTTTAAACATACGTCGTTTATATACAGATTTATCCAACCACATAATACCATAAAATAAAAATTACGAACTATATATGATCAACCCAAAGCGTGGTTGTGGGTAGGGAAGACTGCAAATAACAAGCTGGCAACAGATTAAGGATAGTAAATCATATAATGGTAGTTAATGGGTCAAACGGAAACTCATGATAAAATGAATTGATACATATATGTATATATAATCTAGCTACTTAATAGTTATCCAGTAATAGTCCATAAATTAATCTTGGCAGTTACCATTCCTTTAGTTTTTTTTCAGATACAAGAATTTTCGTCCAGTCAGCTTCAACATATTGTTGTGAATTCCATTCATTAATTATCAGTTGTAATTAGTTATTTGATTCTCAATCCATTTTCCTTGTTATTTCACTATGATGTTTTGTCCAGTAAAAATTAATCGAATAAAGGGACTATGTAACCGAGTTGATATGTAGTTGAATTGACTTGCAGACTCAATTCTTGACGTTCTCATCCAGGAAGTCTTCTTAAGTAAATCGGTCGTTTAGAGTAGTTGGAGTGGTAGGCTCAAAGCAAATAGAGCTGTTGTATACGGTATTGTAGTTTTCGTTAGAGTTTTCTCCCCACATTCTGCATCTGTAACTGTGTTTAGAAGAGTTTTAAGTAAAAAAGAAAAGGGTATTTGGTAATATTGTGACTAATGTTAACTGGAATAGGATTACTTGTTCATTAGGCGTATGAAAAAGCTGTAAGCCTTTTGGCTATAGGTCAATAAATGACGTTTCGAGATTTTCAGGGATTCCATTTTGAATGAATTTTAGTATCTGGAGTACATCAACTCGTCGTACTCTAAGCATTTGCGATTGATTTTACGTTTTCACTTGTTTTCTTTCACACTTTGCAAACTTTTTGAAAATGCTATTAGTCTTGTGATTTCCACTTTGCTCAACTTCCCTTCTGTTACTGCATTCTCATTTCACTAATATGAATTGTGTGACAACTTTGATACAGGGCTCTCATCGTCTGTTATATCGGGTAAATATTTATGCTTGTTTATACACTACTATGTATTTTATAAGTAGTTTCCGTTCACTGTTTTGGTTACTTTGAATCCTGAAATGATCTATTGCATTAGTCCTCCAAACGTCGAAAGGTGAAATATAAAGTTACTTTACGCATAAGAAGTAGTGGTTAAATTATTCTTTCAACCAATAAGTCACGTGTTCAAACCCTACTCCAACTTTGGATTTGCACAGTCTAGTGGTGTCGTTAGCTCTTACAAAATCAGTAACTCAAATCCTAGTATAAAACGTGTAATTGGTAAAAAAACATTCATTTGACGGATTAGATGGAATAAATAGGCTCCCGAACTGGATTTCCAAATAACAGACCCATAGTAAACGAATTAGTGTCTAAAAAACTAGAGATTCATATCGACATTTAGGACTGTTACTTTGTGTCTCAAAATTTAAGGCAGGTATTCATGTGTATATACTTTTAGAGACAGTGTTCTTACACAGTTCAGAACTTAATAATAATATACTTGTAAAAAATAGTCATATTTCAGTACAACAGTGTCGTACTTCCGGAGACCCGTTGAAACGCATCTTAACAATTATTCAATAATTAAGAGGTATTGGAAGCCAGAACTAGTTGTTTTAATTTGTGATTGTTTGGATTGTCCCATTGTTGATATTTTGACTGAAGTTTAATCAGTCTTAGCTAAGATATATGTATATGTGCGGATTGCTTCGATATAGCTACTACGACACTAGTTTATATAGATTAGATGGAATGCGGTTAAGGATTAAATCCAGGAGCGCGTTAACGTTTGAAGCGAAAGGTACTTAGTTCGAGTCTCGGAACGAACATCAACTTTGGGATGCAAGTATATCTAGCTGACGAGTCTCATACAGTATGTAACATACTTCCTGCACTTCACTGCTTACCACATCCCATCTATACAGTAACTAGTTATTTCCAAACACTTTCATTATTATGTAACATACATAAACATATCAGACAAAGTTACTGAGTAAAAACAGGCATATCATATTCATTTTCGATTTCTATGTGAAATATATAGATCTGAATGTTATTCAATTCCAACTGATAATTGGGATTATTTACATTACGTCTTAATTATTATTAGTTTATTGTAATAAATTTTCTACTTTGATTTTAGCGTAAACGTGCACGTCTTGTTATGCCTGGTACAAAATCTAACAATATTGCTGTAAATGAATTATTACAATCAACAAATACAGAAGTGATATCAATTAATCAATCTGATTTAACAGCTGGTGCTCAATTAGAACTGATTAAATCTGTTACAAGTGATGATTCACAGTATAGACCGAAGTCTACAGATGATGATCCTGGCAAATTAGCCCATAGAAAGCATCAGATCACTTGGCTAGCTCATCAAGTATGATTTTTTTCTTTTAATAGCATTATTTCGTATGTTGTTACTTGGTTATTTGTCATATATTTTGGTGAAATTGTTAATTACTATTTTTGTAGTTAATATATACGTTTGTTTGGACATAGACTGTGAATTGTTTGGAGTGTATCAGCTGGATGCTATAGACTTAGGCTTCATGCTAGTTGCCACTTATCAATAACGAATACATTGAAGGAACTATGCTTCTCATGAAATTTCGAACCCACTTTATCCAGTGTCAGTCAGAAATGTTGTTAAAACACAGCATCGAAAGTGGTATGTACCGCACAAAATAAAACTTGTTTATGGCTTGGGGTACTACTCAGGCGCCCAAGGTGAGGCACGTGGTTTTCTTAAGGTTATTTTTCTCTAGTCCTAATTCATATGATAGTGAAACAAAGTCAGGAGATGCAGTACCATGATCACCGGTGACCGAAATGGGTTCATATGCCTCTCGTTTCACCAGAATCATAGAACACATACACAATTGTTATGGAATTAAAGTTCTCCAAATCCCCTAGATAGACGCTCCATATCCACCAACGTGGTTTAAACACTGAATTTTCGCTTTCTATCTTCTTTCTTATGTAATACCATCACGTGAAGACGGTGGTTATAAATGTGTGGCTATATGGGAGTATTTCGAAAAATAAAGCGAACTTTCCTCATCTTCAGTCGTTATTATTTATTTATTTACTTATTTAAACACAAACATGAATACAAGGAGGCACCAAATAGATTTGCGCCACATAAATCATTCAATTTGTGTGAGGGCTGGGATACTGCCCAGGTGCCCAAGCCGAAGCAGATGGTTTTCTTAGGGGGCCACACCCCGAGCCTTTGACATAAAGGTCTGACCCACAAGGCATTGAGTGGAATAACTTCAGGAGATTCAGTCCCATGGTAACCGGTGACCAACAATTGGTTCATACGCCATTCATTCTTTCAGAATCCTGGAGCCCGTGTGCACCATCGGTTTGAAGTCAGGGTTTTCCAACTCCCGTAGGTTAACTCTCCGTGTCCACCGACCCGGTTAAAGCGACGGACATTCGCTTTTCGTCCTGTCAACCTTCTAGACAATATTAATGCCGCGAGAAGGAAGTGAGTAGGACTTCCCTGACAGTGGTTGTATGCACGTAGCCATATGAAAACATTTAGAGAGGGAGAGTTGACTCTCTCCACTCTCGGCCGTACCAGCGCATTTTGTGTGCAAACGCATAAATACAGCATAAAAGATATTTATATTTAATGACTTGCAGTAGCCTACATATATTAGACATATGGTGAAGTTAAAAGAAACATTGCAACTCGAAAACTTCATCGTGTTTTTTTTCAAAATTCTACTTTATCACTTAAGTTCTTACTCTCTTTACAATTCTATTCAAATAGGCTCAAGAAAATGAAATGGAATTAGAAAAACGTTGGGCGGAAGCAAGACGTAATAAGGCTTCAAATCGAGCTAAATATGGATTTTGATTTCTTATTAGTCAACTATAGAATTGTTTTTCATCCCGCTGCCCAACTACCAACATTTTATGTGAATATGTAAATAGTACTTGTAATATGTCTTTTTTTTGTATAGAGCTTATTCTATGTTCCTTCAGTAAGTTTTATTTGTTTCCACTGTCCTACTGCAAAATGTAGTATTTCATTGTAAATATAATTTGGTCGTTTATTGTTTCTGCCTTTTACTTGTGTTATTTACTAATCAAGTCATTGATTAGTTAAAATCAATTTAAACAGAGAATTGTATTGAATGTTAGATTGTATTATTTAGAAGATTACTAGTATAGGGGTTGTGGAGATTATTAAGTTTTCGATTGAGATCATGAACCGATTGATGCTAGACCACCTTCGGAAACCTGGAAGCACTGGACGGCCGTTTCATCCTATTGTGGGCTCAACAGTGCGCATCCACGATCCCGCTCGCGGGATTCGAATCCGGGGCCTTCGGTCTCGCGCGCGAACGCTTAACCTACTGGACCACTGAACCGGCCTCCAATGGTGATAGTGTCTAACATCAACCAATCCACGAAATTGCGCGACCAACTTCCATTGTACCGAGGTAGATACCTGTCTCTACCCGACATGGATTAGCTCCACTGGTCACAGCTTCTCAATAAAACTCCGAGAATTCCCTCACGAAGCTAGTCACTAGTGAGCACATGTTGATTACTAGTATATGGGTTGTGGAGATTATTAAGTTTTTGATTAAGATCATGAAGAGTTAGATAGTTTTTTTAGTGAAATATGCTTAACTAAGTATGATTTAAAACTCTAAAGGTATTTGTGGAGATTGTTGGGTTTGGTAGTTTCTATCATGGGTTGACCATAGTTAGACAACCACTAAAAACTAGGAGCAATGAACATCTATTTCGTCCCAATATGGAACTTCTCAGTAATAGAGATTCATGACCCCACTAGAGGCAATTAAACTTAAGACCTCCGAATCTCCTGATGGGCAGTTCACCTTATCAACTTGAATAAATACGCAATATCGTACAAACATCTTCCACTGTCTCGTCCGACTTGTTTGAACTCCAATGGTGATAGCTTTTTGATACGAAGTATAATTTTAAGAATTTACTTTTGCACTGCTTATTACATATAAGTAGTTTAGTTTTATCTAAAAATATTCACTCAAATACCTAATATCCCGTCATTACTTCATTCATTTCAAGAATCACTGCTGCTTTTTGGGATGTAATTTCTTATAAAAATTGCTTCTCATGCCATCAATTTTACTTTATTCGTTCTCTTTATCTGGATTGTTTGACTGTGACACGCTTGGTAAATCCATATCAGACAATGAAGAACAAATAACTAGATTATGTTTTCTACAAAATGCCAGAGGACTTGTGGTGTGCTGCAATCCGACTTTTCCATATAGATCATACAATTAACAATCCTGAGTACTTGATTATGTCGGTCAATATGTATAAGTTGGGACTGTATACTTTTATGAACGAACAGTACTTCTATTCATTTGATAGTGACCTTAAAAAGAATTAGTACTATAAAATTGGAATATCTCTACAAACACCTAAAGTAACTAGCTGTGTGCTCGCGACTGAATAAAATCAAAAGGTATTATTCCGGAGTTCTTGTAGAATTCAATCATGTCGTATGTGAGACAGGTACTCATCAAGTACATTGAAGAATAGTTGCTTGATATTCCGAATTGATTGAAGTTAGAGATGTACATGATGAGATTATAATTTATGGACGAATCAATCAGATATAAGATAACAGGTCTGGGGTTTTGTCGCGAAATTCATTCACCCATTTGACTACATAGCGCTTTGGCATTATAGCTGATGTCAGTTGGTGATGAAAACCCCAAAATCTAATTCTTAACGCTAACCATCAACTGCAAATCATAATTCTAATTCCTCACACTGATTTATAACCCTCATTTAGTCCTAGTTAGTAGGTGGACGTCCTTAAATTCACTTTAGCGTCACCCAAAGGTCGTCCATAAATTATATTCTCACTATGAACACCATTGGATAGCAGCTCGATGATATAAAGAGCCAATCAGAAGTAGCTAGACGCGGTCAATCGATGACAATGAAAAGTTACCTGAAGGAGTATATATCATTGGCTAAGAAATGGATTGAGAGGTAAAAATATATATATAGAAGAGTATTTGTGCATCTTATTCGTTATCTCAATATACTTTCCCGTCCACTCTCGTGTTTTCACTCAAGTAGTCATGTTGGGGGGGTATCGTGTATCAGTAACATATTTCGAACACCACCCATCAAAACACTCGGTGATCTACAGGTTAAACATCCATCCACATGACCAAAGGTCCTGGATTCGATCTCCTATAATGGAGTTGTGGTTGAGCGTAACCACTATCCAATGTATTCTAGTTTCCAGTGCTTGTCTAACTATGGTCATTCCCTAATTCATGTCTATTGTCCTATATAGTTTTCAGTAAAACAACATCAACAACAACCTTATTTTAGCAAAACTTTTACTTAAACATGCGAAAATACGTTTTCCAAGAAAAAAATCACATTCCAATTATATACTATCACAATGTCAATAAACGAAGATGAGAAAAACGCAATTTGGAATTTTTTTCTCATATTCTAGCCAAAAGAAACAATGGAAAACGTAAAAACTGGAATAATGAAGAAAATTTCTGTTTTTCTTGTAATGAAATATCCTACTGTTTTTAATGATTGACACAATTTAGGGTGTTATAACTTGTGGCATGTGTGTTCTGTCAATGTTTCACATGATTATAGAATAGTGAATTATCGACCAGACCAATGATGCATAAAACAAGTACAAGCAGTCTAGTATCCTTATCGGTCCTGCTTCCCGTCTAGCCCTGCCTTTTAACTCTAGAACATTAATCTCAGCCTCTGCGATATGAATTATGTATTTGAAACATACTGGGTTTATATACACCAGCCAAACACACCACATCGTACCATAAAATAGACAATAACTTTTGTACCAAGATCTAGCCAAATGTGGCTATGAATGTGGGAGACTGTAATTAATAAACTGGGAATAACTCAAGAATGGTAAGTCATATAATAATAGTTCATATGTCAAAATAAAGCTCGTAATAAGAGGGAAACGAATATGAATAGTTTAGTAAGTTAACAATTATACGATAAAAATGTACGTATAGTAATAGTCCAGAAATAGATTCCAAGAGTTACATGGGGAAGTTTTATTTTTTGATTAATACTTGTATTGTCTTTCATGTTTTACATATTGACTTAGTTAATTAACTAGTTGAAAGTATTTTAAAAGACACATTATCATGTATATATGGTGCATACTACTTATGCAAACAGATATAAGTAGTATATAGCAGCAATCGGGAATGAAATGCCTATCATTAGGAGATTGAATTGAAGAGAATAAGAAGGAAATGTTGGGGACGATAGATCCCCAAACTCATATTTTAAATTTTATCTTATCGATCAAATGTTAGATATTTTTATTGGGGTCAATTGATGAACTATCGATTAAATGCGCAAATAGGTCAATTAATGAACTCATTGATTAATGTTTAAAAATTTTCTATCGATTGTAAATAATTGTATAAATACGCTTGACTTGTATGCTTGATCTGATCTGCCTGCCTGACTTGTTATCTGCTGTTTGTCTGTAGAATACACTTCTACACCTTACCCAGACTTCTTGATCGAGTTAGCTGAGTCGGGGACAACGAACCAGAATAGACTATCGAGACTCTGAATCCTTGATCCGATCGATAAGTCACTGTCATATAATCGGCTGTCACATTGAGTCATAACAATTGGCGACGGGGTAAAAAAAAGAACAATCCAAAGTCAGCCTTCAGCATCCAGATTTGTCATCAGTGTCATTCAGCAACATTGGTCATTAATCAAACAGTAATTTACATTACCGGTGCTGAATAAAAAAAATGACTCTCCCTTCCGATCGAGTACAGCTGCTATTTGAAAGACAGTTGGAGTTTTTAGTCAAGTTACGCACGCAGCTGTTAAATCACTCATGCTTTGGAGATGCAGCGGAAGTGGATGGATTGATCTCTCAACTGCACACAGAGCTGGAAAATGATTGCAGCCCCAATGAATCCCCGATAAACCGTATTTCAAACGGTACAACAGTCATTCAAGATTCGCCCAGTGGTCCAGTCCTCTCCATTCCAGAAACATGCCCGGTAATGGACTCAAACTCCATTATCCCCAAAACAGCATGTGCAGACGGTGACTTATCCAGCTCACAAACACACTCCCTGGTAAATGCTCATAGAATTGTCGCAATAACCACCCATGAAACAGAAAACAAATCGAGCAGTACACTGAATACAACTGCTTCAAATGGTTCTCATCAGTCTGCGACAGATGTTTTTGACAAATCTTATTATCAAGATTCTCTTTTACCAGAAAATATGTCAGATGCATCAAATGATGATCAAAAACTTAATGCAATTTTCATAGATGCTAATTACCTTGATGACCCATTATCTACAAATAAGATTCCAAATAAATTTGGTCACAATATTTCAGAAGAATTAAACTTCGAACACCTCATATCAAATGTCGTTCAGCCTCAAGACTTAGTCACTTTCAGTCAATTCTCTGTTCAGTGCGATATATATGTCTTAAATAAATTCAAGTTAATTATAACGTGGGCATATGAGGATCCAACACTGTTTCGTGGGGGAGGATGGACCTGGAAAACTTAAAATCCGGATATCAACTCCGGATCTTCTAAAAAGGGGAGGAGTGTTGGGGACGATAGATCCCCAAACTCATATTTTAAATTTTATCTTATCGATCAAATGTTAGATATTTCTATTGGGGTCAATTGATGAACTATCGATTAAATGCGCAAATAGGTCAATTAATGAACTCATTGATTAATGTTTAAAAATTTTCTATCGATTGTAAATAATTGTATAAATACGCTTGACTTGTATGCTTGATCTGATCTGCCTGCCTGACTTGTTATCTGCTGTTTGTCTGTAGAATACACTTCTACACCTTACCCAGACTTCTTGATCGAGTTAGCAGAGTTGGGGACAACGGACCAGAATAGACTATCGAGATTCTGAATCCTTGATCCGATCGATAAGTCACTGTCATATAATCGGCTGTCACATTGAGCCATAACAGGATAATAAAGAGAAATTTTAATCACAATATAATTGAAAGAATT